TTCCCGCGAGGGAGAGTTGCTAGCTGGTCTGATATTGGAGCCCCAGTTTAATTGGGGACTCTCAGAACACTATAACAAAATAGTTATGATCATTTTGCTTGGTGTGGTTTTTTTTTTTTTTTTTTTTTTTTTCCCTGGTGTGAGTTTTAAGCCGCCAGGTCCAGGACTCAAACTGCGGTCTACTATGTGAGAGTCCAGTGGCATAATCATTATGTCATCTGCTGGTCCCTTCCTGCTTTTCATTTATAAATTTGCAGCACAGCTAGGGTGTGCAACTCACTTGGCTGGGTGAAGGACTTGAGATATAAATATAAAGCTATAGGCGTTGACTTTAGGGGTCAGAATTTGGTTTCAGGAATAAGACACACAGGCAACTCCAGTCTAAGGTATAGTGGTTCAGACAAGAAGAGAGAAAGGAATTCCATGGGGGGAGAGGTTGGCAGGAAAGACTCCCTGGAAGAGGTGGTACCTAAGCCAGTTCTAGGTGCAGAGGCAGGCTTTTGTGAGGTAGTGAGAAAAACTAGGTAATACACAGGTTGGAGGCTGGGGTCCCAACAAAGGTGGGATTATTTGCTCAGAAAGTGTTTGTGTTGGGCCCAAGCCAGGGGAGAAAGTTTGGAGGTGGGCTCATAGGTGAAAGAACTTGGAAAAGGTCATTTAAGGCAGATCCTAGGAGCCATGAACATTTTGTCAACAGGGACAGAGGTGTGTTAAGTGCCTTGTGCTGTCACCGTAGGGCTGATCTTCGAAGACGGGAGCTGTGTGGCACCAGCTGAGTGTCCCTGTGAGTTCCACGGGACCCTGCACCCACCCGGCTCCGTGGTGAAGGAAGACTGCAATGCCTGGTCTGTATCTACAGCCGGGAGGGAGGGGACAGCTGCTGAGGCTTTGTCAGGGCTGGTCATCTGGGGTCTGGGAGCCCCGATGACACAAGGGCACTCACTCAGCATCTTGGAGTCTCCAGACCCCATGAGCTCCCATGAGGACTCTCTACTCCCTGTTTTAGAGATGAGAGATGGAGGGCTGGGGCAGGAGCTCCGTGGGCCCTGCTGTCTCCTGGCATCAGCCCAGGCCTGCAGGGCAACCCCTGGCCTCCCCGGTCTCTGTTTCAGCACATGTACTGCAGGAAAGTGGGTGTGCAGCACAGCAGTGTGCCCAGGTAGGTCTGACCCCCATCTTGGCTTCTATACCCTTCCATTGGTCTCAGTTTAGGAGCAGGGAAGCCCTGGGTGCCAAGCCTGCTGGAAGGAGAGGTGACACTTAGATGCGTCATCTAAGCCTGGCCCCCTTTATTTCCTCTGAGCCATGTTGCCTGCTTAGGAGCTTGCTCCAGCCCCTGCCAGGAAGAGTCTTACATGGGGTCCCGCATTTCTAAACCCTTTCTGGGCCTGGAGCCTGGGACCGCGGCAGGTTTTCAGGCTCAGGGCCTGGTCTTTCCTCAGATGGAGACCCCCCAGGGCAGGGCTGTGTGTCTCCTTCAAACAGGTTTCTGGGGGCAAGCCTGGGTCTTCCCACTGAGCAGGGCTCTCAGAGGGAAGGTTCCTTACACCGCCCCCACTTCTAGAGGACAGGGTGCTGTGTCCTCATCACGTTTGGAGCTCCCCCGGGCCAATAGCCTTTCCCTTCTCTGGCCCTCAGCGGAGTGCTCGGTGACTGGTGACATCCACTTCACGACCTTCGATGGCCGCCACTACACCTTCCCTGCCACCTGTCAGTACATCCTGGCCAAGAGCCGCTCCTCGGGCACCTTCACGGTGACGTTGCAGAATGCACCGTGCGGTCTGGTAAGGACAGGGACCCCTGGGCTCAGTCGGCCCAGCTACCCCTGCCTGTCACCTCCTGGAGATGGGGGTGAGGGCCGGGCCCAGGTCTTCCATGGCCCACCCAACAGCTGCCCCTTCTCTCTGGGCAGAGCTGGGCGTGGGAGACTGGGTTACGGGCCCAGCATTTCTGCTGCCCACCCCCTTTCCTGGGCCTCAGTGTTTTAAAAACTCTCTAAAGTGGTCTAATTTACCTTCACCTTCTCTGCTTCACTGGAATGTGCTGTCCACACCTTGTGTTCATTCATTTATGCATCCAGCAAACACTGAATACCTATCAGTGCCAGAATCCATGCTGGATTGTGGAGACAGGATAAATTAGGTATGACTCTGTGTCCTCAGGCCTCACAGTTGGGTGGGTGAGTCAGGCACGTGAACCCACAGCTCACCATGTCATCCAGCTGTGAGAACACAGAGAGCACTCGGTGTGTTTCCATGTTTTAAGAAAAATGCACAGAGACATCTGTGTTGGGACAGGGAGGACGGGCACCACAAGACCTGACTAGATCGCAAGAGGGAAGCCATGCATTGAAGATGCAGAGGGGCCTGGCAACGAACAGTGTGGGAGGAAAGTCTAGGATAAAGCTGAGACTCCAGTCCCAGTGACCAGAATGGGCTAGGGTGGGGTGGGGACATTAAGAGAGAGCATGAAGTCAATAAAATATTTGCACAGTGCTTGGAACTTAACTAACCACTTTTGCTTGCAAAACTCGAAGCTCCAAAATTCCCCCACATGGTATTTATTACCATTCTCCCCATTTTACATGTAATGAGATGGGCCTGCAGGAGACAGGCATGTCTTTTTTCCTGCCAATTGATGGCCAGCAGGAGGCAGAGCAGAGCCTGACCCAAGGTTGGATGTTGTCTTGGTGTCTTAATACCTCCACTCCAGAATCAGTGTGGTGTTCACAATCTTCTAAGTGTTTTTTAAGTAGACTTTATTTTTTATAACAGCCTTACCTTTACAGAAGCATTGGGGAGATAGTACATAGGGTTTCCATATAGTCTATATACCCAGTTTCTCTGATGAACCTCTTCCATGAATATGGTACACATGGTACAGATAATGAACCAATGCTGATAGAAGCAGCCTCACTACCTAAAGTCCAGACCTTATTTAGATTTCCTTCATTTCACCTGATGTCCTTTGACTGTCCCAGGAGCCAGTCTGGGATACCACATTACATATAGTTATCAGTTCTCCTTAGACACTTCTTGGCTGTTACAATTTCCCAGATTTTCCTTGTTTAGGGTGGCCTTGAATGTTATGAGGAATACTGTTCAGGAATTTTGCAGAATACCTCTCTGCTGGAATTTTTCTGATGTTCTCACATTAGACTAGAGTTATGGGTTTTGAGGAGGAAGATCATGAAAGTAAAGTGGCATTTTCATCATGTCCTAACAAGGATATGTGTTATCGACGTGGTTTAGTGTTGTTGATGTTGACTTTGATCACCTGGCTGAGGGCTGTTCAGACTACTCCACCATTAAGCTTCTCCCTGTCCCTCTTCGTACTATTCTCTTTGCAAAGAAATGACTATTCACAGCCTGCACTTAAGGAGTAGGGAGTTATGGGACCAGCAGATAGTGTAATGGCTCTGTTGCTGGACTTACATGTAGTCAACCATGGTTTGAATCTCAGACCTGGTGGCTTAAAACTCATGGCAAGCACATGGGCATGCATGCCCAAAATCCCAAGAGGAGAATGAAGAAGAGGTGATTATGGCGTGGCATCCCCCTTGGGGGTAATTTCTTACTTTCTGTCTCTTTGGTAAGCACATGTGCCCTATGGCAAAAAAACTCTCAAACAGACAAAAATGAAACAAAAACTAGAGTGGGAGTTAAGTGCCCTCTCCTTGTTGGCAGAGAATCTACATAAATTCTTTGGAATTTTTCTGCATGGGGAGATTCATCTCTTCTCTCACATTTATTTATTTAATTTTTTTACTTATATCAGCACAACACATGAATATTTATTTTATACTTTGGGTTATATTCCACTAATTTTATTGTTCAAATTGTTCCAGCTTTGGCCATTGGGAGAGGTTTCTATTGGTTTCTGTGTCTCATATATCCCCCACAATTGTGTGTGAGATGTGGTGTGTGTGCATGCACACACCTTACAGGAAGAACCAGGCTCACCTTATACATTTCTTGTCCCAGTTCTAGTACTACGTGTTCTTCCAAAACTATTACCAGGCTCTCCCAATTCCTTCCATTGGAGAATGGTATTAGAAACCAAGACCTGAACACGAGGTGTTCCTGCAGAGGAATCATTTCTTTTAGGCTCTCTCAATTGACGGAGAAAGGAATGTATAGCCACCTGTATCTCTGTATAGCCAATGTATATAAGACGTATCTACACTATAAAACCATTCGTATCTTTTCCCCTAGTTTCTTGTTTTTAGTTTTCTTGCTATATGGTGTATACACTCACCAGAGAGAGTCAGAGAGAGAGAAAAGAGAGAGAGGAGAGAGAGGAGAGAGAGGAGAGAGGAAAGTGAGCAATTATCCCCACCAGGGGAATGGCCATTTTGCAATCTCTTCTTCCTCATCCTCTCAGGATTTGGGGGCACACACACACACACACACACATACACAGTTGATTTTCAAGCCGCTGAGTCTAGGCTTTGAACTGCCCAGTCAGCTATATGGGATCCAGTGCCTTAACCACCACGCCACCCGCTAGCCTTAGTCATCTATCTATATGTGCTAAACATGAGTTCACACTGATGTTCCAACTCTAATCTATTTCCATATGTATCAATCTAGCCTCCTCCCCTTGCTTATATGTAACCACCCCCTCCCCGCCCCCCACACACTCTGGTAATAAGTCTATCTTCCTCTATTCACTACCCATTGACTGATAATTCAGTTCCAGTATTACATGAACAGAAGTATCAGAATTATTAACCCATCCCTCTACAGGAAAGAACTTTACCAACTAGGGTACAGTGCTTGTGCACAATTCTTCATCAGTTTAGTCTCAGAAACTCCACTTATTTCCCAAGTTACTTAGGTCACCTCTCATTTCACCTCCTTCGACGAGGTTGTTTCACACATTTGTACAATAGATTCTTTTGCCACAGTCTGCATTCTGTCCTAGAATCCTCTTCTACATGACTTTCAGAAATGTCCACATGGGCCAGACAGTGGTGTGTGGTGGTTAAGGTGGCTAGATCCCACATGGTCAACTGTGTGGTTTGAGTCCTGGACTCTGCAGTTTGAAAAACAAGCCAGGTGTGTGTGTATACATGCCCAAAAGCCCAAGAGGAGAATGGAAGAGAAAGGATTGTGGCATGGCCACCCCCCTGGAGGATGCTTTCTTACTTTCTCTCTTTCTTACTTCTCTCTAGAGAGTGTATGTGTCCTCTACAAAAATTTTTTTAAAAAATATTTTTAAAATTGCATACATTAGGATTCACTTTGTGCTGTAAAGTTGTGTGGGCTTTCATAAATGCAACTTTGACAGGTGCATCCAAAGTATTTAATGCACACATTCCCCCATCGGTCCGCAGGGAGGGCCACCTAAGTATTGTGTTTCTATCTTGTAGAGGAGAGGGCTGAGACTTGGAGAAGGTCTGACTTCTGTAAGATCTATGGCTTCCAGTGCCATCGAGACTTGAACCTGAGACTTTGACTAGCGGGCATGAGCTCTTTCCACAGCAGCGGCACGTCCAGAGGGGATGAGAGGATGGGTTTGACAAGGGTGCTGTCCTAGAAGCAATCATTTGAGCTGTTTCAGAAATTTTGTTCCCCCAGGGAGGAACTCGGAAAGACTGCTATGGTTTATTGTGTGGAAGCTTTCTAAAACGTCTCCAGCCTGATGGTTTCATTTCGCTGGGTTTGAGCGCGTCCCTCCCGTGTTGCACATTCTCTGGTCGTCTGTTGGACTTCGGATAAAGGTTAAAGAACATTACGAGGCTCTGCTGAGGCTGCCCCTTGTCTGCCTCCTGAAACTTCCCTTAAATCACTTTGCCCAGCAGGCCGTGGGCCCTCTGGTCTTTACCATCCTTAAATGCATCGAACATCTTCCCGCGTCAGGGGTTTGGTAGGCACCGTCCCCTCTCCCTCGATGTCTTCCTCCCCGCCTTCGCTCTTTGCCCATTTAGCTTCTACTTATTTTTTCACATCTCGGCTCTGATGCCACGTTCTTTGCCAATCTACAAGATGAGGGAGCTAGGAGTATTTACCGACTCAGATTGCTTTCAGGATCGAGTGAATATAAACGGTAGATTTGAACAGCATCTGAGCACAGTAACTCCATCCTAAAGTTAGCCGTTATAATATTAAAATAATATGGCAGTATTGGGGCCAGCAGGTAGCGTGGTGGTTAAGGCACTAGACTCCCACATGGCTGATCATGGTTCAAATCCCAGATCTGGTGGCTTGCTCTCTCTCTCTCAAAAGCCCAAGAGGAGAATGGAAGAGAAAGGATTGTGGCATGGCCACCCCCCTGGAGGATGCTTTCTTACTTTCTCTCTTTCTTACTTCTCTCTAGAGAGTGTATGTGTCCTCTACAAAAATTTTTTTAAAAAATATTTTTAAAATTGCATACATTAGGATTCACTTTGTGCTGTAAAGTTGTGTGGGCTTTCATAAATGCAACTTTGACAGGTGCATCCAAAGTATTTAATGCACACATTCCCCCATCGGTCCGCAGGGAGGGCCACCTAAGTATTGTGTTTCTATCTTGTAGAGGAGAGGGCTGAGACTTGGAGAAGGTCTGACTTCTGTAAGATCTATGGCTTCCAGTGCCATCGAGACTTGAACCTGAGACTTTGACTAGCGGGCATGAGCTCTTTCCACAGCAGCGGCACGTCCAGAGGGGATGAGAGGATGGGTTTGACAAGGGTGCTGTCCTAGAAGCAATCATTTGAGCTGTTTCAGAAATTTTGTTCCCCCAGGGAGGAACTCGGAAAGACTGCTATGGTTTATTGTGTGGAAGCTTTCTAAAACGTCTCCAGCCTGATGGTTTCATTTCGCTGGGTTTGAGCGCGTCCCTCCCGTGTTGCACATTCTCTGGTCGTCTGTTGGACTTCGGATAAAGGTTAAAGAACATTACGAGGCTCTGCTGAGGCTGCCCCTTGTCTGCCTCCTGAAACTTCCCTTAAATCACTTTGCCCAGCAGGCCGTGGGCCCTCTGGTCTTTACCATCCTTAAATGCATCGAACATCTTCCCGCGTCAGGGGTTTGGTAGGCACCGTCCCCTCTCCCTCGATGTCTTCCTCCCCGCCTTCGCTCTTTGCCCATTTAGCTTCTACTTATTTTTTCACATCTCGGCTCTGATGCCACGTTCTTTGCCAATCTACAAGATGAGGGAGCTAGGAGTATTTACCGACTCAGATTGCTTTCAGGATCGAGTGAATATAAACGGTAGATTTGAACAGCATCTGAGCACAGTAACTCCATCCTAAAGTTAGCCGTTATAATATTAAAATAATATGGCAGTATTGGGGCCAGCAGGTAGCGTGGTGGTTAAGGCACTAGACTCCCACATGGCTGATCATGGTTCAAATCCCAGATCTGGTGGCTTGCTCTCTCTCTCTTGCCCTTTCTCTCCCTTTCTGGCTCCCTCTGGTCAAATTAAAATATAAATAATAATAACAAATAAAAATGAAATGAATAAATAATTCTCTAAAATGTTACAGTATTATGAGGCTTTTGTTATTGTTAGGATTATTTTTCATTACTAATGTCACTCCCTAGGATGGCCTTTCCTACCCCCACAGACTAAGTTAGTCCCTTCATATTCTTTCTGCCTGCAGCTCTGACCACAATTCTAATGGGCAGCTTTGTGACTGCTTATTTAATGTCTGTGTCCCACCTAACTATGTCATCTCCGTGAGGGACAGGGACTACTCTGTCTGGGTTATTGCTGTCTCCATAAAGCCTGGTGCAGTGTACCTTACACATCATCGGTGCCCGGGAAATGGTGGAAAGAATGCTTGCAAAGTTGTCTTCCCATGGAAGGGAGGCATGACTGGGCCCAGTGTGCACCACCCATGTCAGAGACGGAGGACCTGAGGCCCAGAGGTTATGGAATGCGTTGAACTCCTGCCTGCCTGTCAGCGGGTGCAGGATGTGACACACGCAAAGAGCTACATAAACACCCACCAAAGGACGCCATGAAAGTTCTGAGCTGTGGTCAACAGGGAGGCCAGCGTTCCTAAGGCTAACTCTGGGCCTTGTGGGTTTTATCTCTGCTTTGTGTCTTTTGGACAAGCTGAAGGTTGACTATCATTTTTAGTTATCCCAGCTGTTATCCCAGCTCTGTCACTAACCTCCAGTTTGAGTCTCTGCCTGCTCATTCCTCAGATAAAGGCACTTGGTTAACCCGGATACCCTTTGGGGCGTGGTCGTTCCGAGGGCCGGCGAACAGCCACACCATCTGACCTTTGGCGTCTCTCTCTCTCTCTAGAACCAGGATGGAGCCTGTGTCCAGTCTGTGTCAGTGATCCTGCACCAGGACCCTCGGAGGCAGGTGACGCTCACCCAGGCAGGGGATGTTCTTCTGTTTGACCAGTACAAGATCACCCCGCCCTACACGGATGGTGAGTCTTCAGGTGGACAAGACAGTAAGTTAGGAGCTGGCTGTTCGGGCCTCTTTTCCCAGCTCTTCTGATAAAAATCACTGCTACAATGGCAAGGATTCACATTCCAGTGGTGTGTAGGGACGAGGGGACACTGGTTCCAAGACTGTGGGCTCCTACGATGTGTCTGCCCCCACCCCAACATGACGGTGGGCTTGCTAGCCGTGTGATGGCTTCTCCTAACACATCGCGGGAAGGCGGCTGTTTCCCATCCTGACTCTCAGAGTTGCTCATTAACTACTTATTACCCTATCTGATTCCACAAGAGACATATGGGTAGCTTGTCGGAAATGCATGAAACATAAATGCAAAACTATTAAGAAAAAAAAAATAGAACAGAACCACGTACAATTTTTCTAAAAAAGAAAAAGAAAATAATAGGGGCCAGAGACAGAGAAAAGGAGGGATGTAATGATGCGTACAAAGGTTGCTGAAATGCAAGCCATAAAGGCTATAAAACTTGCTACACGTAAATCTGAAAGTGAAATGTGTTACAATTGAATCTGAAACTGTATCCCGGGCTCCCCGTAGTCAAATCTGGCCTTGTGAAGAATATGTTACGTAGCTTTTTGAGCCTAGGGAGGAAACACATGTCAGTTTCCTAGTGAGAGCCAAGCTCTACCTGGCACTTGAAGCAAAATGAGAGTGCTCACCCCAGGTGGCCTTGGCGGGTTATCCCTGGGTCCGGATGTCATCACTGCCTGGTGTCCCCAAGGCTCCACACCCCAACTCCGTGGGAGGACCTCACTGGGTGTGGGGGTCTCACAGGTGGTAGCAGTCAGTGGGATGTGGACTGGCACAGCTTCCTACATCCCCCTCCCGGTTCTGTGCCCAGACGCCTTTGAGATCCGCAGGCTGTCCTCCGTGTTCCTGCGAGTGAAGACCAACGTGGGCGTGCGGGTGCTCTACGACCGTGAAGGCCTGCGGCTCTACCTGCAGGTGGACCAGCGATGGGTGGAGGACACGGTGGGGCTCTGCGGCACCTTCAACGGCAACACCCAGGATGATTTTCTGTACGTGTGCCCGCCGAAACCGGCAGGAGCAGGGTGGACTTATGGGGGAGGTAATCTGGGGCGCCACAGGTGTCTGTCCCGTGCTGTCCGCGTCCTCTCCGCATCTGCCACGCACTGTTAGTTCTTCATTCCTCTACCTTTCAGTTTAGATATGCTTCTCTAAGGCAGTGGGGCCTAGTTTTGCGTGTGCAGGTGAATCACCTGCAGAGCTTGTTGATTCCTGGGTCCTACTTCTCAATAATATGATTTAGGGTGGGACTCCAGAATTTTATTTTTGATAAGTGCCGCTGTGAGTCTGCTGTATGAGGTCTGTGGACCGTACCTTGAGGAATACCACTGTATAATAAGGTCTTAAAGTCGAGGATCACAGGCTGTGTTTACTTTGCCTCATTGTTTGTTTTAATTGGCTGCGAACACCTTTAGGTGAGCGTGAGCCTCCAGTGAGCCAGTGAGGCCAAGGCTGCCACTTCCTCTCCCACCGGGCCTGTCTGACCCCCATGCCTTTCCTGCCTGGTGCCTGCAGGGTTTGAGTGGGCACTCTGTGAGCCTCGCGATATTCAGGGCAAAGTGGCGTCCGTGGGTTGGCAGATAGCTGGGTGCGGGACAGCTTAGGAACTTGGGAGGGAAGAGTCCAACTACAGAGAGGAGGATCAAGGGTGGAGCTTGAAGGTTGGAGGTCCTGGTCAGGCATTTAGGTTAATGCATTGGGCGATGCAGAAGGAAACATGGCAACTGTTCTTCAGCCAGAAATGAGACTTCCGATTTTCCGTCAAGAACAAGAACAAGCTGAGCTTTTCAATGCCATGTGCATTTAAAGACTTAGCGGGGCAGGACCAGCAGATGGCGTAATGGTTACGTTGCTGGACTCCCACATGGCTGACTGTGGTTCAAGTCCCAGACCCAGAGGCTTGAAACTCACTCTGGGTGGGTGTGCGTGCATGTCCAAAATCCCGAGAGGAGAATGGAGGAGAAGGGCATGGCCATGCCCCCTGGGGAGTGATTTCTCTCTTTCTGTCTCTCTGTCTCTCTCTGCCTGGCGAGTGCACATAGCAAAAATCTCCCCTCTCCCCCCAAAAAGACATATTCTCCTATACCTTGGCTGGCAGAGCTGCGTTAGGGTGGCTGGCCAGAAGGGTGGGGGCAGTCCTTGGTTTGGCGCGTGGGCTGCTGCCACACTCCTAAATGAGAACTCTGGCCAGGACTGAGTAACACGAGTGCTCCCACTGCCCTGGAGCAGTAACGTGGGCAGTGTAGTACCATGCAGAACCTGCCTCTGTGGGGCTACGATCGCTCTCTGTTTTACCAGCTACGCTCCCAGAGAATGGTGACGTCTAGGAACCCTACTCGGCTCCCTTGCTGATTCCCTGCGTGACCATTTCCTACCTAGAGAGTCAAAAGGAGAGTCGAGGAGTTTTCAGGAACTGCTCTTGGAGAAGGCAGGAGGGAGAAAGTCTTAACTGTGAGGCCTGGTGCTCTTCAAGGTGTCCATTTCTCTCTCTGACATGAAAGCTGAGGAGGTGGCGAAGGCGGGCAGTGTGTGGTTCTCAGCCCACGTTGAGCCCTTTGGGGGCTTGCTAAATGTGGTATGTGTGCATGCATGCATACACAAGCACACATCCATAATTGTATCCAAAGGTGGCTGTGGGGCTGTCTCGGCTATGTGTGTGTCCGGTGCACGTTCTGCTGTGCGTGTCTCAAGAGCACACATGGCATATGTGGGCCTATACGTGTTACGTGTTTGGGTGAGTACACATGTGCCTGGGTGTGTGCTTGTGCTTGGTCTATGGTGTGTGTGTAGAAGAGCAGGGGTGTGCTGACCTGGTGTGTGCCATATGTCCCTGGGCCCACTGGGGCAGCGTGCAAGTGTGGCTTTGCACGACTGCAGGTCCCCGGTGGGCGTGCCTGAGAGCACCCCGCAGCTCTTCGGCAATTCTTGGAAAACACTGTCCGCCTGCTCTCCACTGGCCCCGGGCTCCCCACTGGACCCCTGTGATGTGCACTTGCAAGCTGGTAAGGGGGCGAAGGGGGAGGTAGAGGAACGGGGGCTGTTCTGAGAGCGATGAGGCAGGAACTCCAGGCAGGAGGGTGTTGCCAGATCAGGTGGAGAGCAGAGCAGGAGGAGCCGCTGGAGGGGCAGGACAGGCGGTGGGGCTGGGCAGACAGGAGGCCCCACGCTCCACCTCTGTCACGTGCACGCTCACTGAGATGGGCCCCCCTCAGGGCAAAAGCCGGAGTCCTCACAGCAGCCCCGCAGGGCCTGCCCCTCCGCGAACCCGTCTCCTCACCGCTCACTCCCACTGCTCTCCGCCCTGCTCCGGCCACAAGGGCCTCCTTGCTGGGCCTCCTGTACAGCCCTGCTAGGCCCTTGCACTTGGTGCTGCCTCCCAGAGTGCTCTTCCCTCAGACGTAGGTCTCTCGCTCCCTCCCTCTCTCTCTTACATAAATACCTGGGATATCCCTCAGATGTCCATGCACCTCCGTCTCACCGCTCTCAGTTTGGCTCAAACATCACCTTCTCACTGAGACCTTCGTGACCCCCTGAGGTCACGTTGCAGTGCCTCCTGCCCCCGCACACTCACGCTTCCTGTCTTCCTGCTTAGCCTTCACTCTGTGGATTCCTCACCTCTCCGTGCTGTGGCAATGGTTTGGTGACCTTCCCCCACCAGAATGTCAGGTCTCTGAGGGCAGGGCTTGGGCTGGTCTCATTCACGTGTGTGTTTCCCTCCACTAGATAGGTGTTTGCCTGGCACAAGGTGGCGTGCACCGCATGGCTGCATGCACACGTGCACACGTGCACCTGCACACCCCTCCTTTACAGCCGTTTACACCCACGCCATGACCAGACTTACTGAAACACACCCACACACTCACAGCCGGCCATGCCCAGAGCCACCTGCCCACAGCCCTCCTGGGCACACAGATGCATACACACTCACACACACACTCCCGGACACAGTCCCATGAGCCATGGGGGATGGCAGTGGCTGGTTCCAGGCACTGGGCAGCCAGCCCTGACTGCCTGTCCCCCCTTCCCGCTCAGCCGCCTACGCAGTGCAGTCGTGCAGCGTGCTCACGGGGGAGCTGTTTGCGCCCTGCTCCGCCTACCTGAGCCCCGTGCCCTACTTCGAGCAGTGCCGCCGGGACGCCTGCCGCTGTGGGCAGCCCTGTCTGTGTGCCACGCTGGCCCACTATGCTCACCTATGCCGGCGCCACGGGCTGCCCGTCGACTTCCGTGCCCACCTGCCAGCCTGTGGTGAGTGCCCATGACGTGCCCAGCTGAGGGTGGGCTGCAGGGGCCTCGGCCCTGGTGCTGAGTGTCCACGGCCCTCGGCTCTGCAGTGCGACGTCCCCTAGCTCCCCAGCCTGACTCTCGCCCTCACGGCCCACTTCTCCTGTGCTCTTCGTCTCTGCCAGCGCCCCTGTCACTGGTGCCCTTGCCTGACACCTGGGACAAGTGACCCAGGACTGTCCCTCTTACCCTCACCTCCATCCAGGGCCAAGCCCCTCCCCCCCCCCGTCTCCTCACCTCTGGTGCCACCTTCTTGTTGCAGCCAGAATGAGCATCTAAAGGCTCTGGACTGGCCCCATGGCGCAGTGGCTAGCCCTGTGTGTGGGAGCCGGACCCCCTCTGCCAACCACGGTTCACGTCTGGCCTGGTGGCGTGAGAAACATGCCAGGTGCATGCGCATACATGCCCCAACTCCCAACGGGACAGAGAAATGGTGGAGAAGGGACGGCAGCATGATCGTGCTCGCTGGGGGTGCTTTCTCTCTCTCTCTCTGTCTCTGGTGAGCGCACATGCTCTCTGGCCAAAAAAAATTAAAAAAAACAAAAAATCCCTGGCTCCGGCCACCCTCAGGACTGAGTGCACGTGAGGCTTAATGGCATAAGGCAGACTCCCCCCCCGCCCCCCGCGTCCCCCCCTGACATACCCCATGTCTTTCCTGCCCTGGGCCCTGGCACAGAGCCAACTCTCAGTAAGCATTTAGCAAATAAATGAATCAAAAAGTCATCATGCTGGGAGTAAGGAGGCCTGAGTTTCAGCCCAGTCCTGCAGGTAACTGGCTGTGTGTCCCAGGGTTCAGCCCCATCCCTCTCTAAACCAGAATTGGACAGGACCAGTGGTCCTTAACCCTGGTTCCACATTAGAATCACTATGGGAACTTTAAAAAAAATGCGCACTGAGGCCTCACCCAGTAACCACTAAGCAGCCTTTCTGGCAAGGGGTCCAGACATCATTACATCATTGCCTTTAAAATATATATATATTTTATTTCATTTTATTTATTCATTTTTAAAAAAATTTGACCAGAGACATACACAGAGAGAAAGAGAGAGAGAAAGAGAGAGAGAGAGAGGGAACGTGAAAAAGCAAGCCACCAGGTCTGGGACTTGAACCATGGCCAGCCATATGGGAGAGTCTAGCACCTTAAGCACCATGCCATCTGCTGTCCCCCTGGGCATCAGCTCTTTTAAAGCTCCCGTGAGACTCTGACATGCAGCTGGGTGGAGAACAACGAAGCAGTGGCTCTGCTGGCTCTGATGAGAGTGGACACTCCCAGGAAGCAGGATGGTGGTCAGATGAGGAGGAGACAGCCCTGAGGCTCGGGACAGAGGGCCCTGGGAAGTCACAGCGGGGAGTACAATGGATTGTTGCAGCCCACGTGCATCATAGCCACAGAAGGGAGGGGTGGAAGTGTGTGTGTGTTCAGGCAACAGTGCGTGTGCACATGTCTAGGTGTGAGTGACGGGATGGGTGCAGGGCCCTCGGGGGTGGTGACCTCCACTCTCCCTCAGCATTACTGCCTGAGGGATATCTTACAGGGAAAAGGAGACTGCAGTGGTTTTTCAGGCTGAACTTGATAGGTTTGCTTGGCCTTTCCAGTGGAGTGAGAGGCAGCAAGAGTCAGATCTAGGTTCAAATCCCATCTCTGACCTTGACCTGCTATGTGACCTTGGGCAGCTGTCTTAACTTCTCTGGGCCTCGGTTCTCTTCATTAAGATGACAGCTCCACCCCACAGAGCTGTGGGCATGAGGGCGACAAAGCTCTGTTCCCTTTGCCACCACAGCACTGTCCTGTGAGGCCACCAAGGAGTACAACCCCTGCGTGGCCCCCTGTGGACAAACCTGCCAGGACCTGGCTGGCCTGGAGACCTGCGGGGCTGATGGCGGCGGCGACCTCAGCAGCTATGAGTGTGTGGAGGGCTGTGCGTGCCCACCGGACACCTACCTGGACACCCAGGCTGACCTCTGTGTCCCCAGGTGAGTGCCCAGCTTGAGCTCTGTGTTGGGCCGGGGGTAAGGTCCGGGGCTCAGGGCATCTGAGGCCAGGGAGGCTGCCAGGCTTCTCCTGTGCCCAGTTCACCACAAGCTCCATGCTGTGCTTGCGGGGGGTGGGTGTGCAGGGGGTTCCCTCCTCTGCACCTCCCCACAGGCCTCTCTCTGCAGCTCTGCTCTTACGGCCCCTCCTGCCAGCTTTCCCATGAGCCCGAAGAGCCAAGAAGGCCCCTCTTTTATCATCACCCCTCTCCTCAAAAATCGGGTGCCCTCCTTACATGTTTCAGCCAGGGACAAAACAGAGTCCTGCCCTCGTGGCGCTGGACCAAGGGCGGTGGGACAGATTAGCCAATGAAGCTGCGAGAGCGGGCAGCAGTCCTGTCACGTGGGGAGGGCGTGGAAGGAAGGCCTTTCCTCCGAGGTCACATCGGAACAGAGACCTGTGGGAAGTCAGGGGGGAGTGCTGCAGTCTCGGTGTCACCAGAGGGCAGGTGGTGTCCCCGCCTGATCACGAGTGACTGACAAGGCCCTGGTGTCTTGTCCAGGCCTCCGCCGCTCTATCCGTGACATTCGACTGGGGGTTTCCAAGTGGTGGGGGCTGGAGGAATGCCTCTTTTGGGGTAAAAAAACCAATCTCTCAGGGGCTTTTCAAACCACAGCATCCTCCCTTAGACCCGGATGTGCATCTGGCCCCACCCCTTGATGCTGAGTGCTGCCAGCCAACGGCCGTGGGGTGTGCAGGGCAGGAGAGGGCTGTGCCCGAGCACCGGGGGCGGCTGAGTCCAGGGGCCTCTGCCTGCCTGGCTGCTCACCCCGGGTCTGCGTGTGGTGTAGTGGCAGGCTCTGTGGGGGATGCTGAGGGGACACACAGCTGCCCTCTCAGATGACTGACAAAGAAGAATCCCCACTGTCCAGGGCCCTGGGAAGGGTCAGCGAGACAATTCAAGGGGACTTGGAACATTCATGGCAAAATGAGGTAAAGTGTGAGTTTATTTTGGTATAAAAAATGTTGAAATTCACTCTTTTTTTTTTCATAATATGCATTTCCCATGAACTTCTCAAAGACCCCTTGAATATGTGCAAAGCCTTCCTGGGTCCCTGCCCAGGTGTCAAAATATTTCACAGCCAGTGTGGTGCGGGCACTGGCAGCCTGAACAGACACAGGGCGGGAACTCCCAGGGCAATCGTACCAGGACGCAGCAGCAGGGACGTCCGCCCGCCCGACATGCAGGCTCCGGAGCCCGGCCCTGGTCCCACCTCACCTCCACCTCTCCTTTCCTGGGTGCACGGAAGGCTGGCCTCCGGAGTGTGCAGAGACCTGTGAGGCTGTCCTTGTAGGGGCTCTGTAGGTGGCTCCTGAATCTGGGACCCAGCCCTGACCTCTGTCCCTGGTGCTGGACTTACCGGCTGGCTTCCGGGCTCCCGCATGTCACAGAAGACACCATGGCTGTGCTGCCCTGCTGCGGCTGCGGGCTGAGGGCCTCCTGTACTCAGCCTCCCCTCCTCAGTTGCTCAAGTCTGCTCACCTTTCTCCGATCCTGGCTTTTCTAGGAACCAGTGCTCCTGCCACTTCCAAGGAGTGGACTACCCGCCTGGAGACAGCGACGTCCCTTCGCTGGGCCACTGGTGAGCTCCCAGGCGGCAGCCTCCTGGCTTCTCCTTAGATGAGGCTGCTGGCAGGATGCAATGCAGCTGAGCAGAACTCTCCCGGAGCAGCATCCACCCTCCCCAACGTAGTGTCCTCACCCCCTGGGCACTAGGAGTGAGCGGCTCGCCTGGACCCTGCAGTGACCTGAGTGTCCTGCAGGGACTCGGCTAATCCCGATGTCCCTCTCTCTCTTAGCCACTGCAGAGATGGAGTCATGAGCTGTGACAGCAGAGCCCCAGGTAAGGGTGACCAGAGGGCGGAGTCTGCCATGGTGGCGGGATGTGGAGAGGAGGGTGGGCAGCGTGAGCACCAGCCGGGACAGGGCCGCCCAGCCCAGGCCTGCCATACTGGGGCCTTCTGTGTTTGCTGCCCTTGAGGCAGAGGCTCCAGCTTGGAGAGTGGCATCCTAAGGCCCTGTCCCAGCCTCAGTTCCTCCCACCCCTGCCCCAATGCTGTCCCCTCACTTTGAGAGGAGGGGCTGTCTCCCTTGGGGCAGTCACCTAGGGTACCTGGACAGTTTCCTGACCTCCCTGGGGTCCTACATTTCCTCGGTCTGAGCTCTCAAGCATCTGCGGAGGTGGACTCTGCCCAGCCCAGCCGTGGGGACATGGGGTCACAGAGAGTGGGGAAGCCCAGCTCTTGAGATGAGGGCAGGGAAGGGAGGTACAAGGGACTGGAAGGCAGGGCAGAGCCCAGGGCTGTAGCCTGCAGGGGGAGCATCCTGGCGTTGAAGAGCCTGACGTAGAAGAGCTGCGAGGAGTGAGGACTAGCATAGCCGACTGCAGAGCAGGCACAGGGCAGGTGGTTCAGAGCAGACCCTCTGGGGTCAGGCAGCCGGGTCCAAATCCTGGCAGCACCTGCCAGCTGTGCAGCCCTGGCTGATCCATACACCTCTCTGGGCCTCCGTGGTCCCTCTTGTAGGTGACATGGATTCTTACATCTGCTCTGCATCTTGTGTATTCCTCCTGGTCACTACCAGCTGAGGCTTTCTGCCTCTGTGGGACTTTGGGCACACTCCTATGGCCATTCCTTTCCCTCTGCTCCACCCCAGCCTGAGCGTGGAACTCAGCTCCCGTTTAGGGAATTCCCTGGAAAGATCACTTCTTGGAGCGTGAATCCATATGGCAGACGTCGAGGGCTCTGGCGAGAGGGACAGTTTAGGTCACAGAAATCCGGGCGGTGGGAAGTGGACGATCCCTATTGTCCAGAGTCCTCTGAGCAACTGGGCTTGTCCTCTTCCTGGCTCCCCTGCCGGCCCCTCTGGGGCACTTCCTCCGCTTTATGATGCCTTTTGAAAGCAGAAGTGGCCTCATTCCATTATATGGGAAGATGGGGGCCAATGATTCCTCCCAGAGTCGGGATTACATAAGATGATGAACAGTGCCCAGCAGGGGGTTGCTCTGCCACCAGGCCTGCTGGGAGGATGCAGCCTCCCTCCCTGTGGTGTGTACCTGGCAACCCAAGCGATGCTCAGGAGCCGCAGAGCACAAAGAGGCATCCGAGCCTATCTCCCCCTGCATCCTCCAGCTGCTAGGCCTCCTCTCCCTGGCCACTGCTACAGCCTAGGAGCCCACCCACAGGCCTGGGACCTCCAGCACTCCCCCTCTTCTCTTCTAGCTGCCGCCTGCCCCGCGGGCCAAGTCTTTGTGAACTGCAGTGACCCACACGCAGACCCCGAGCTGAGTAGAGAGAGGACGTGTGAGCCCGTGCCAGCCCGTGGCCCCTGCCTCTCGGGTTGTGCCTGTCCCCAGGGGTAGGTGTCAGGTGGCCATGAAGGTTAGGGAACCAGGGACCGCAGGGTGCATGGGGCAGGGAAACTTTAGCCCCACAGGGAGGTGCTAGCCCGGGGGAGCTGCATAGCCAACGAAACATCTGAGAAGGAGCAGGAGAGTGGGGATCTGGCCTGGGATGGAGCCTAGCTGGCTCTGCGTTTCCCACTGTGTGTCTGTGGCGAGGGAGGGACCAGGATCCTCTGGGGCTCAGCTTTCCCACTGTAAAATGGGAATGATAGTAACAGGATGTCATGGCATTGCATGAGGCACTGACGTGGAAGTGCGAGCGGGCGGTAGGCATGCTGCAGAGCCCAGTGCATGAAGACCATGAGAGAGGAAATCCACGCTGCAGCCCACCATCTCTGTCCCTGCACGGTTCTGACCAGAGCCTCAGGTGGAGGGCTGGAACCCCTGGAACACTGGAGAAAGGAGGGCCCACCCTGAGATAGTGCCGGCTTCTGCCCGGGAACGTGCCCTATGTCATAGAAATCAGACTGGCAGGTGGGAGCACTGTGGTCCGAGCTCCGTGAACAGCCTGGGGAGGGGGTCAGTGCCCGTGCCCGTGGTCTGCTCATTAGTACACAGCCACTGCCTTGGGGGGTGGAGGGGCATACACCCGGCCGACGGCCATGACCGCGGGAACTGGGCCATGCTTCCTAATGGATGGCAGACTTCCAGGCTGGCTCAGCTGTCTCTGGTGTTCCCCATCACCAAGGTGCCTCTAATCCTCACTGGGCACCAGTGGCATGGGCGGTAGGTACCTGGTCTTCCAGGATAGATGTTGAGAGCCTGGGGCATCTGTGTGGATGCAGAGTCCTCCCCAGATGGCAGACTAAGGATAGGTGCTCTCTTGACCCCTTGCTTGTTGGGTCTCCACAGCCTGCTCAGACACGGGGACGCGTGTTTCCTGCCGGAGGAGTGCCCGTGCACTTGGAAAGGGAAGGAGTATTTCCCTGGGGACCAGGTGATGTCTCCCTGCCATACTTGGTAAGTGAGGGCCTGGAGTAGCTCTGCTTTTGTCTGGGAGGAGAGTGAGTAGGGTCTAGCGTTTCCCTTCTGCCGTGTTTGTAATCACGTTGCATGTTTGTGGGTTGTGTTCGGGCTTGTGTACATATACAAGTGTGACTGCAAAGGAACCTTTTGGAGTATTTTTGTGAGTATTTACATGAATGTAAGCTTATTCAGACATGCATGTAAATTGTGTGTGCATGCATACTTTTAACCATGACAGTGTGTTCACATATTTACATGATCATGTAAGTATGGGTGCAAATCCAAAATGCAGACCACATATGTGAATATGTGTGTACATGGATGTATATGAAAAGGCATTTATATATCTTGATATGTTAGTAACTATACAGTTACAAATTTGTGTATGTATGCATCATATGTCTGTATCTGCCTGTGCATATCCATGTAGCATGTGTGGACATATGCTATGCAGAGTATGAACATGTGCATGTATTAGACATGCATATTTGCACTGATATATGAGTGAACATATATGAATAAGTATGCACTTGCATTTGCCTATGAATACGGACGTACCTACATATAAAAGTGAATGTGTATGTGTGGATATGAGCATGCTCCATCATGTAGGTCTGTATATCTGAGAGTGTGTGTGTACCTGGACTGGATTTTATGGAAGCAAACTGGGGCCTAATTGCATAGGGCCTATTCTGGGCTGAGCAGCAGGGGCAGGCAGTGGTAGCAGCTCAGCCTCCTGATAGAGCACTGGGAGAAGGTTTAAGAACGATAAGCTGGCGTCCTGATGCTGGAAAGCAAACTCAGTCGGTTTCGATGTTGAGAAGTCGCCAGAGGGCTTGATGTGAGCAGGAAGCCTCTGCCACTGGACCCAAGGGCCTAGGAGAGAAGCTCAGAGAGGGTCATCTTGGAGACACATCGACCTAGCTGGAGCAGGGCTCCCAGCCCCCTTCTCTCGCTAGAGCTGAACCTGTGCTGTCTCTTTGGCCCAGAGGTGGTCATGGCACTCGTTCAATATTCACATGGTAGCAGCAGGGTCATAGTCAAGCCCATCTGCTGCAAGGCGTGTTTCTCCAGGCACCTCAAGGTCTATTGACGGCATCAGAGCCCTGTCTGACCCCAGGAGTGCCAGAGTATAGTCGAGCTGGAGCTCTGCACAGGCTGTGTGCTCCGGTGTGTGTGCGATGTCATGGTGGGCCAGAGCTGACCAGGGCTGCCGGGTGCAAGTGGCGAGAGACTGAGGCTCGCTGGCCTGCATTTGCCCGGAGGTGCCTAGGGCTGGAGACGGGCTCACATCTGTCTGTTCTTGGGGATTCCCTGCAAAGTTCTGAGGTGGCACAGGGCATCCCATGCAGTAGGGTCATGACAAAGGCGGGTACTTTGATTAGCTCACTTGCCATCGTGATCTTGTGGGCCCATCTCTGGGTATTGGCTGAAACATAAGGCGGAGGTTTCCTCGCTGCTTTGTTCACTGATGCATCTCAAATTCCTGGAATCATGCCTGGGATATGGTAGGCGCCTAATATTTGTCAAAAGAATGAATGAATAAATGAACGAGTGAAGTGGTGAAGAGAGTATACGCTTGGGATTCAAATAGATCAGGGTTAAATCTCAGCTCCAGTATGTATTGGCTGGGGTCCCGGCACCTCTCTGAACCCAGAGTGTCCTACACGAAAGGGGGATCGAAATCGTGCCCCAGGTTTCTGTTGAAGGTGGATCATGTTCGTCAGCCCCTTGCCTGTGGACCCCAGGGTGCCTTCAGTAAGCACAGTACATAGGAAGGCTCTGTCACGGGTAGTCAAGCCCGGGGGGTGGCCCATGAGTGGGCTTGGGCTCTGTGTTCTAGCATGTGCCAACAGGGCTCATTCCGGTGCGCCTTCCATCCCTGCGCCTCCACCTGCACGGCCTACGGCGACCGGCACTACCGCACGTTTGACGGACTCCCGTTTGACTTCGTGGGGGCCTGCAAAGTGCACCTAGTCAAGGTGAGCCTCCGGACGTGTTTGCCCCACTGCTTCCACAGGGACCCAGAGCAGGGACTGGGGTCCTGTCCAGGCCTGTGGGTGCTCTGGACTCCAGTCTGAGGCTCATTTGGGTGGGCAGGAGGATCTAAGCCCTGAGGTGTGGCCGCTGGAGACGGAATGAATGTTGAGGAGCAAGCTCAGGTGGATGGAACCCACCAGGCACAAATGTCCCACTGCCTGTCAGCCCCTTTGTGACCTTGTCCCACTGAGGCCCAGTGGTTTTTCTGCCTGAAATAGTAAGAGCTATTGCATTTTGAGCTTTTATTATATGCCTGATGGTCTACTGAGCCACTGGGACAGATTAATCCACTTAATTGTCACAACAACCCTACCAAGTTGGGTTAGTTGGCCCCAAGTTATGGACATAGCAACTTGAACTGAGGAGGGTTAGGAATGTGGCAAGAGGCTCTCAGGTTTGAACCAACCAATCTGACTGGAGAATCCACGGTTCAGAGTCACATGGTAAGCCATCGGCTCACCAAGAGGAAAAGATGGTGGCACGGGACAGTGCAGTGAAGGCAGGACCCTCCCCAGAAGAGGCACACCAACAGGGGAGTTAGGGTACTGCAAGAGATACCTGCAGGGGACCTTGGTTTTGCTAAGGAGCTTGCCCGTCTCGCCATGTAAGAGTAATCGCAACGTAATAATAATGACGACACACTCTTACGGAAGGAGCCTTCCTGGGGGGCAGGCACTGGACTGGAGTCCTACACGGGATTTCAACCCATTCCCAAGATTATTGACCTTATTGTGATTTATTTTTTTACATTTCAAAGGTAATACCTGTTCTTCACTAAAATTGAAAATGACATGGACATAGATAGTAAGAACACACGTTTCCCTCTTCACATCTCTCCTGGTCCCTTCGCTGCTGAATCACCACTCCTGACAGAGTGAATCCTGCACGACCTTGTCCATGAGACATGCAAACACACACACACACACGCACGCGCACACCACTCGGCTTTTGTCCACTTAGTGGTGCATCTTGGACATCTGTCTTATAGTCAGTACAAGCGTTTTTCTTAACTGTTGTGTAGAATTATTATTATTATTTTAGAGCTTTAGGCTGTAAGGCTTGTGTGCTCACTGGAGAGACAGAGTCAGGAAGTGAGAAATCACCCTAGGGGGTTGGCCACACTGCCATCCCTTCTCCTCAATTCCCATCTCGGAATTTTGGGCACACATGCACATGCACACATGCAGGTGCCTCGTGTGAGTTTCAAACCGCCGGGTCTGAAACTTGAACCGCAGTCAACTATGTGGGAGTCCAGTGACTTAACCACTATGCCACCTGCTGGCCCCAACAGTTGTGTAGAATTCTATAGAGAGAACATGCCCTAGGTTTTAAAAAATTATTAGCGTTTATTCTGCATCCACAGGGTTGTTTATAGCATTTAAATTCAAGTGGAATTGGTGTATGAAAACTATACATTTAAAATGCTCTTCCATGCCGACAAAATGCCTTCCTGAAGCCTCACACTACCGTCCAGAGTGCGTGGGAGGCCGTGCCCATCCCTCCCCGAGCCCCCGTCACATATACATTCACTCATTCATTCATCACATCCGTCTGGGAGAGTCACTCTGTGCTGAGCACTAGGGCACCCCACTGTGACACTTCAGAAAACGGAAGGAAGTTGTCCAAAGTCACACAGCTAAGAGAAACAGGAGTGAGTTGAAAGCCACTCTGGAGTCTGCGTCCCGCCCCCTCCGTGCCCCTCCGCCCCATCTCTGTTCTCCTTGGGGTTACTGGGGCTGCTCATTTGCCCCTCAGAGCACCGCGGAGTTCAGCTTCTCTGTGATCGTGGAGAATGTGAACTGCTACAGCTCCGGCATCATCTGCAGGAAGTTTATCTCCATCAACGTCGGCAACTCCATCCTCATCTTCGACGACGAGTCAGGGAACCCTGTAAGGCCCCATGTGGGCACAACCTACCGGTCTCTGGGGGCTGGGGCCAGGGGAGGGCAGAGGACTGGTGTCCTTACTGCAGATGTCAGAGCACCACTGAGTCAGAAACTCGGCTGGATTCCCTGGCCAGGGGCAGGAACATAGAGGTGGATGTCAGGGCACGAGGGAGGCCCAGGCTTTGGTGAGGCTCTGGGGCTGGGCAGCAGCTTGTAGTCAGGCCCTGTGTTGGGCAGCACTTGGGCCTCAGGACTGAACTTGCCTGTCTCCCTAGAGTCCCGAGAGCTCCCTGGACGAGAAGCAGCAGGTGCTCACGTGGCGAGCGGGCTTTTTCACGCTGGTGCACTTCCCCCGGGAGCACATCACCGTCTTGTGGGACCAGAGGACCACCGTGCACGTCCAGGCCGGGCCTCAGTGGCAGGTAGTCACATGAGCAGTGAACCTCAGGGGCCCTCTAATCCTGCCTGGGATTGGGCCAGCTCCCAGGGCTGTGTGGGTGAGCCATGCTCTCACTGGGAGCCAGGAAGAGCATGCCTGCCCCGCCCTGTTCGTGCCCACACCCTCTGACATTGCTCATCCCTCTTCAAACCGGCACTCAGCCCAATAGGCACCTGGGTTGCCCTGGCTCAGCCCTGGAGTGCCTGTAATCTGACAGGGATGTCTTCGCCTTTCAGGGCCAGCTGGCAGGACTCTGTGGGAACTTCGATTTAAAGACCATTAATGAGCTGAGGACCCCGGAGAACCTCGAGCTGAGCAGCCCCCAGGAGTTTGGCAGCAGTTGGGCTGCAGGCGAGGTAAAGCCCCCACGCTGGCCACGCCCCTCACTCGCATGGGCAAGGGGCCTCTTAGCCTCGGACCAGCATCCCCAGCCCTGGGCTCTGTCCTGTGGCCTAAAGATGCATCATCCCATCTGGGCAAGGAGAAGGGACGCTGGGCGATGCTGCTCCTCCTCTTAGCCTCGGACCAGCATCCCCAGCCCTGGGCTCTGTCCTGTGGCCTAAAGATGCATCATCCCATCTCATAAATCCAGCTGCCCACCCCACCCAGGACCAAGTCTTGGCAGGAGGTGGGAGAGTGTGAAGAAGTGTGGAAATGAGACAAAGTCTCTGTCCTAGGAGAGATGGCTGGTAGTGTGGGAGCCCAGGCTCATTGAGCTTGAGATCTACCCAGCCTATGCCCCTCAGTGCCTGGCACAAGGTCCAGCACAGGGTACAGACCAAGAAGGAGGTGCTGTCCAAGCATAGGCCATGTTTAGGTAGATGACTGTCTCAGAAGAGACCTCTGAGAAGGAGGACATTAGTGGAGGAAGACATGGTGGGGGAGTGTCCCTGTCATTTGGTTAGGGAGATGTCTGACCCATGCTGCCAAGCTGTGGGCTGTGGGAGAAATAGCACTGATCAAGAGCTGAAGATCAAGCTTCTTATCTTGGATTATCCATAGACTTGCTGGGTGGCCTTGAATATGTCCTAGGTGTGGGAACTGTGTCAAGAGAGGGACAGTGAATAGATTTCACTTCATATGACAGCTCTGATCAGTCAGAGAGACTGTATGGGAAGCTATGTTGGGAAATATCTGACTTTTTTTGGGCTCAGCTGGAAGAAGGGCTATGATTGATTATTTATGTCTGCAGTGGGAACAGCAGTGGAGAGTGGTCATGTGAGTTATATATGTGGGGTCTTCAAAACATTTGTGGAAAATGTGTATTGTGAAAAAACTATGTATAGATTTTTTTTTTAAATTGCACTAAAATAAACTTGTACTTTAAAAACAAACAAACAAACAAGCTTTGCCATAGGGTTTGTGTGCTCACCAGCAAGAGACGGGGAGAAAGATAGTGAGAGGGAAAGTGAGAAATCATCCTACAGGGGAGATGGTCACAGCACAATCCCTTCTCCTCATTCTCCTCTTGGGATTTTGGGCACATGTGTCTGGCATGATTTTCAACACACCAGGTCCAAAATTCAAACGATAGTCAGTCATGTGGGAATCTAGCTCCTTAACTACCACACTCCTTGCTGGCCCCAAACTTGTACTTTAATTTCAGTTTCCATAAACATTTTGAAGTCCTCTCATATTTGCTTTTTCTGGACTAAGTGTTCTTAATTCTCTGATGAGCCTGTGCAGATAGGGGTAGGGGGAACAATTGGGCATGGTCTAGAGCTCAGTGTAACCCTAAGGTGGGATGAGGCTGTTTCCACAGCCCCAGAAGAGTATACCCTAATCTAATCCACCCCTATGTTAGAGAAGCGGAGTGGGTGATTAACCTTTGTTGTCCCCCACACCCCACATATTTCTCTCTTGCCTATACCGTTAGGCATACCCCAAAGGACCCTGTGGAAGGAAGTTCAGCAGAAGCAGGGGGAAGCTGTACTAGTGCTTCTTGCTGTATAACGGGGGAAGCTGTACTAGTGCCTCTTGCTGTATAGCGGGGGAAGCTGTACTAGTGCCTCTTGCTGTATAGCGGGGGAAGCTGTACTAGTGCCTCTTGCTGTATAACGGGGGAAGCTGTACTTGTGTTTCTTGCTGTGTAACAATATTACTAGATGCAGCAGCATTGAATAACATATGTGTATTCTCTTCAGTTCAGGTCAGGGTCAGGGCAAGGTTCAGTCCAGGTTCCTGCTTAGTCACACAAAGCTGCAGTCCAGCATCAACCAGGGCTGGGCTCTCACCTGGAGGTGTGACTGCTCCCCACCCACTTTCTTGGTTGTCGGTGATCATTTAGCTCCCTGTGACTACAGGGCAGAGAGCTTTCTGTCTGCAGCTGTCTGTTGGCTAGAGACAACCCTCAGCTCTTGGAGACCATGCACACCTCCTGTCACGTGAGATTCCCCAACATGACCGCTTCCTCACAGCCAGCCAGGGAGAGACCACACAGAGCAAGGTGGGCCCTGTGGTCTTACGGACTGTGACCGTGTAATCACGCACACGTGACCATGCCTATCCTGTCAACCTTGGCCACACGCTATTGTTTTGAAGCCAGTCTTAGGTCCTCCCACTCACAAGGAGAGAGGAATACACAGGATGCAAACACCAGCAGGCAGGGGTCATGGCAGCCACCCTGAGTCTGTCTGCCACAACACGCATTTGGGATACAACAACCTTGTTTTTGCCCCCTCAGTGTCCAGACACCCTCGACCCCCGGGACACATGTGTCCTGAATCCACTCCGAGAACCATTTGCCAAGAAGGAATGCAGCGTCCTACTCAGCGAGGTGTTTGAGACCTGCCACCCTGTGGTGAGTGGACTGAGCCCTGGCCCCGCCCCGCTCCCTTCCACTTTTCCTGGGCTCCCTTCTGACCTTGGATCAACCCCCCAGTTCCTCAGAGGAGACACCCAAGGTCCAGGAAGGAGACTCGCCCTGCCATTGCTCTGCCTCGGTTGGGATGGCCAGGAGCAGACATCCAGATGACCAGAGCTTCTGTGCCCCTTTCGAGTCCACCTTGATCGGGTCCCTCCTCCTTACCAGGAAGTTCTTCCCAGGAGGGACCCTAAACCTCTCACACCACGGCACCCCCTGCTGCAGTTCTGCCCTCGGTGGGGACAGGGCAGACTGGTGCCTTCTCTGCACGGCACCCTCCAAGGCCTTGAGGGCTGCTGCCAGACTGGCCTTGTAGGTCTCTGGCCTGGCTGGGTCATCCAGACGCTATGCCTGGTCCTCAGCCTCTCTCTTAGCCCTGAGATCAAACCGCTGAGGGGCAGGGCGAGGGGAGCTGAGCCCTCTGCAGCGGGCACACCTGTGCCTTGAAGTCCTTGTGCCCCCCACCCCCGCTGGCTGTTCTCCCTTCACCCTCCATGGGCAGCTCACCCTGTCCCCTGGCCCCTGGTGGGACATCAGCCATAAAAAACTGACATGCAGGGTCTGTCCACTGACCTCTGACTTCTGACCTCCTCCAGGTCGACGTCACCTGGTTTTACTCAAACTGCCTGACAGACACATGTGGGTGCAGCCGGGGCGGTGACTGTGAGTGCTTCTGCGCCAGCGTGTCCGCCTACGCTCACCAGTGCTGCCAGCACGGAGTGGCTGTCGACTGGCGGACCCCGCGCCTCTGCCGTGAGTGACCCGTCGTGTGAGGGGACAGGTCTGGGCCCACGGGTGCAGCACTCTGGCTAGCGTTTATTGAGTCCTCCCTGTGCCAGGCACCAAGGGCCTTCTGTGTGGTAGGCATCGAGTCCTCACAACGACCCTTTGAAGTAGGGCTGTAGATTTCCATTTTACAGTCGAGGAAACTAAGGCCTTGAGAGACAGATGACACGACATGCCCGAGGTCACGCAGGTGAGTGGTGGAGCCAGGGTTCACCTGTCAGTCAGCAGGTGCAAACCCGTGCTCTTCACCACTTTGCGGGAGGAGTCAGGAGCCCCGGGTCTCAGACTCAGAGCTGCTACGTATGAGCTGTATGTCGTCAGCCAGGCCCACCAGCCTCCCTGGAGCCGTTTTCTCATCTGGAAAACAGGAACAGACCTGCCGCATCAGGTTTACTCTAAGGGTCAAGTAGGAGAATGAATGGAAATGCCTCATCAGCTAGACACACAGGCCCCACCTCAGGCATGGCTAAGAACTTGCCCCAGGATGTGCAGTCACGGGCAGGAGAGCTGGGATTCGAACTCATGTCAGACTCTGGAGAGTTGGCTGGGAATGACTCCTTGAGCTGGTGCACACTTGAGACCGGAGGCTTGGCAGTCTCTAATGTTCCAGCCTGATCTCTGAGTCCACAAGTGAGGACGGGCTAGCACTTGTCCGGCAGGTCAGTCTCCTGACGAGTGCTCTTCCCAGGCGACAAAGCCAAATGCATTGACTACTGGGCTTGGAGCGTGGAGTGGAGTTTGTGGCCTTCCTCATGCCTGTGTGGGAAGCAGGCCTCTCCTCAGACCTAATACTGGGTCCACCCAACTAGAGCTTCATGGCCTTAGGGTCCCCTGCAAGGTCCCCAGCTTAGCCCAGTAGACTGAGGAATTCCGAGCTGAGGCACTAAGGGCACAGGCTGTGGTGCTGGTATTGGCCACCAGAGGGCGCGCTGAGCCCACACTCCTAGGAACTTGTCAAAGCCTGGCTGGTGGAAGCACCTTCGCCTAGCTCTGTGACCCTGCACCGAGGAGCCTGAGGAAGCCTGGGATCCAGAAGGGCCCTGGTCCCCTCCTACCCAGGGCTCCTGGAAGACCAGCTTCCACCTCGTGCTTGCATTCCTCAGAGGGCCTTCCACATTTCTGGCTGGAGCTTCCCCGTCTTGGTATCGGTCCGGCCCTTTATAACACACCCTCAGACCAGCGTTCACTCATTAGTTCGTTTCATATATTACCGAGAGACGACTCTCGGCCAGGCTTTGAGCCTCGTGCTGGGTGTGCAGAGAGGAACAATTTTCATTCCTTTTCCTTGAGCCAGTGACTCCAAAGACCATCCCTAAATCCTGGAGTTTGGAGGTAGGCCAGGCCTGGCCATTGGGAAAGGAAGAAACTGGCGAGGGGTCTTGGTGCCACCCAGCTTTCCAGGCCTGGGCCGGCTCTCACGATGTCACTGTGCTCTCTCTTTCAGCATATGACTGTGACTTCTTCAACAAAGGTAAGCACATCCTCCCCAGCGAACCTCAGGGCTGGGGCTCTGCCAGCCCTGCCCCGAGGCCACATCAGCCTCAGCTCCCTGAGGCACTGCTGGCCCTGGGAGAGTCAGGACGTGGGCTGAGAGGGACTGTGCCATGCAGAGAGGGCTGCAGGGTGGTGGCATGCCCTCAATACCATCTTCCCAGTGTCTGCAGCCCTGTGGGGGCCCAGGCCAAGCCAGCTTCCTGGGGATTATGCCTCACCTAAGGCAGCTTCACTCAGAAGTAACCACCCTAGTTACACCAATGTGCCTGCTCCTCGGCCTTCATAACCAAGCTCACCAGACCTGTGGGATCTCATCCTGGCTTTCCCGAAGATCTGAGCCAGCAAAGGCGAATGCAAAGTGCTTTTTCTGGGCTGGCTAGGGGGACGTACAACCTTTTCGAGTCATCTTCAAACTGAGCCAAGGTCGCAGGGGGCCAGGGTAGGCTCCGACATCGAGCTTAGCCAGGCCAGTACAGGCCATAACTGAAGCCCCAAGCGGGGCCGTGTCCATGTCAGAGCCCATCAGCCCGTGTAACACTGGGCTCAGGTGGCATGGGGAGGGCTGCCCGGGAGTACTTCTCCGCCCTGAACTTCGTCCAGTCGGACCTTGGCGGAGTCGGGTGCTCATCGGCTCTTTGGTGACATTCCCCATTGACCTCCAAGCCCCACCCCTCAGCCAGGTGCCTTTCTGCAAGGTAGCGGCCTCTGTGAGTACAGGCCTGAGGCTTTCCCCCTGGTTACATTGTCTGGTGGCTTGAGAAACCTCACCCTAGCAAGAGTGGTGGGGTACAATGCTGGGAGACAGGCTGCACACCCGGATACCAGTTAGGGGGTCTGGGAGGCGAGCGCTGGACTGGGGTACAGCATGAGAATCCACTGAGACCGCAGCCCAGCCCCGATGGCTCTGAAGGCCAGCGTCCTCCACCCTTGGGGGAGCGAATCCGCAGCGGGGGAGTGCAGCCCCCAGGACGGGCAAGGTCTGTCTAACATCAGGAAGACATTTCAGAAGACAGCCTCGAGCAGTTCCCTCCCTTCTGTGGCATTTTGAGTGGCAGTAACTGGCAAAGGACAAGCTGTTTCTAGCAGCCTCCACCCACCCACCCACCCGCCCCTCGTCCATTCCCAGGACTTCTCCCCACAGTGTCTGGTCCAGGCCTGTTGGGTGCTGGGAAATCGCTGGTAAGTGAGACCCACAGAGGGGCGCGCTGAGCTGGCCTGCTGCCCCTCTCGCACCAAATGTGCGTTCTGACCCTACGTTCAGTTGGTGGCTTGGAGCTGACCCCCAGTAGGAATATTTACACTGTGGGACTCAGCAAGTGCCGCAAATTGGCTTCCCTTTATTTCCTTGAGAGCTGGTTGTTAACCTTTACCAGTGCAGCACTGCCTATGGGGGAGGCAGACGTGGGTCCCCAGCCCGACCCTCATCCTAAGAGCTGTGATGGGTGTGAGCTTGGCTGCCAGGGCTGTAGAGTGCCGGCGAGGTGGGGCCTTGGTGTGTGGCCGGAGGGGGTGCCGGAGAGCTTCACCAGGAGGTGCCATTGGAGCTGGGCCGCAGAGACTCAGCGGGTGTGCACCAGGTACAGGGCGAGGGGACCACTCCAGGTAGGCAGGGGAGCTGCACACCCGGGGAGGGGCAGGACTCATCTCCAAGGAAGAGTGGTTCAGTGTGGCAGGAGCCAGGGCTTGGGGGAGCCAGGCAGGGGTAGGGGTGAAGGGTCCCGGCTTCCAGCTGGGCTCTTTGATTCCGTCCTGAGAGCAGTAGGGGCCACTCCTGAGTCCCATCAGGGAGAGGCTAGGGAGGTGACTCAGGTGCTGACATGGAGGTGACACAATGGAGGGTGGTGTTGCAGAGGCAGAAAGATCTGGCTCAAGAACGTCACAGTTGTCCAGGACACCTACGTCTTGCTCTGAGCCACACTCACTCACAGGAACTCAAAAGACACAAAAGTGACACGTGTTTAAATAAATAGATCTGTGCTAACGTTGAGCCTACGTCTCAGGGAGTGGGTCTGGTGACTTCTCCCGGAAGCAGCCTTGAGTGGAGCAGTGGCTGTCTGGAGAGCTTCGGGCATGGGATAGACCATGGACAGACATTTGGGGTCCCGGATGGCCCCTGGGGTGGCCTTTTCCCAGTTCCCTGTGCGGCGATCCAGGCGCTATGCAGAGGGTCAGTTTCCTCAGGGGCCGGCAGCCTGGGGCTCTCTCTGTGCCTTCTCAGGGACGTCACCCCAGGGGCCTGGGATGAAGAAAGTCACCATGGAGTCTCCCCGTGGTGCTGTCCATCCCCTCTCCGGAAGGCTAGGCATGGGAGATGCCAAGGCTTGTGACTGGGCCTCCCTCCCAGCCCTAGGTAAGGGCCCCTACCAGCTGTCCAGCTTGGCGGCCGACGGTGCCTTGGTGGCCGTGAAGGTGGTGGGCCGTGATGTCGTCCTAGTAAGGGCAGAGGATGTGGCACCGGGGGACATCGTGAGCTTCCT